GGTTAGTTTTTTTAAGGAAAAACTATAAGAAAGCCTTTTAGAGCCGCTTTGGCACATGTGCCAGGTCTTTTGCTCTTTCCTCTCCTGCTGTGTTAGCTAGTTGCTTGTTCTTTGTTTCCAGGGCAAGGTCACTTCTGCACTTTCAGGTGGCCTTGTGCTTGGAATTTCCCCGGGAGGGAGAAGGGACCACCACCATCTTCCTGGGAACAATCTTATTTGGGTTTCTATTTTAAAACACTTAGATAGGAAATTTCTTTTTCGCCTCTACGAGAATAGAGGTGAGGGTCCCACAGAATATTTCGATGTATCCGTTGTTATTTGCAAACCCGTTTCTCTTTGCTATGACGGAAAGAACAGAGCTCTTGAAATTTATATTCATTCACACTAACATCCGTGTGATAGGTGGTACCTGAGGACTTGGCATCCCCGGAGAACTTTCAGGTATTAGCTATGAAAGGAAGTGTAAGGGCTTTTCCGAGCAAGGGAATCTTTGCTGTCGGGAGGCAAGAAATAACGCAAAGTCACAACAGGCAACAAAAATCAAGAAAGACATCAGAGGGCTGAGTAGAGGGTTGGGCTTTCATAGTGTCTCTGTATGCAGTGACCTAGTAGAAAAGGGCAATGGGGCTGGAAGTGTTTTTTGGCGGGCGATGAAGACTGAAATATTGGCCATTAACAGGGACTCAGGAGTTGGGGATTTCCAAGACTCTTTGAGTTTCTGGACAGCCAGGAACAGAAAGAGTGATTTTTTTTTCCCTCTGGCCTATTACCCTACAGGAATGCCTACAGACTGAGTTGAATATATATATATATATATTCCACTTTTATGGTTGTAAATATTAGCATTTAAAAGTAAACTTTTTACCCACCATTAATTTTCTGTCTGAGACATGTGCACTCTGGCTTAAATACAGCATTCTGAAAAGTGTCTTTGCCAGGCCTGGTGGCACAGGACTTTAATCCCTGCACTCAAGAGGCGGCAGAGTCAGGTGAATCTCAGTGGGTTCAAGGTCAGCCTGGTCTACATAGTTCCAGAACTCCCATAGGTAACAATGAGACCCTGTCTCAAACAAAACAAAACAGACCAAAAAACAAAATTTGAAGAAAAATGGAATGTGTCTTCTTGTGCTGAGTTTTTAATTTTGTTTGTTGGAGTCTGGAAAGCACCATATGTTGTTTAAGAGTACCAGGTCACAGTATTTTCACAGTTAGAAAAGGCATGCATGCCAGGTGGTGGTGGACATGTCTTTCATCCCAGGACTAGGGAGGTAGAGAAAGGTGGATCTCTGAGTGTGATGCCAGCCTGGTCTCCAACTCGAGTTTCAGGACAACCAGGGCTACACTGAGTAACTAATCCCCAGGTCATATCCATTTGGAGTCCTCGTGGTTTGGGGTCTGAAGTGCATGGATTCTCCAACAATAGGGACTCTACCTCTGGGATGCCACCATGGGCAACAGCTCTGTGATCAACTTCAAAGTAGGCTTCTCTCACCTGATGTTGGTTGTTGTGTTAGAAAGTCTATGACTCTTGTGAGGAAAACCATCAGCCCAAATGTGAGCTCTTTATTTACACTCTAAATGTACATGCATACACAGATTTGTGTGTATTGCAGGCATTTTTGGTAGATGATAGTAACATGATTCCTTATGGCATTTTGAACATCCTTACTGTTATTTTACCCCCCTTCTGTATTTATATCTGTTTTTTCTCCATAATGAAATCTCTCTCCATTTTTCCAGTTCCCCCTTTAGATCATCGTTCCCTGGTATTCCCGTCTCTATTACTCCCCACACCCCACAATAGTCTGTTTTTATTGTTCTGGCTACTGCACTCACTCTAGGTTGTATACTCACATCTGAAGATTTGGAGCTAGGAACTGCCTATGAGAGAGAATATGTTGGGGCTGGAGAGATTGCCTGCTCTTCCAACGGTCCTGAGTTCAATTCCCAGCAACCACGTGGTGGCTCACAACCATCTGTAATGAGGTCTGGTGCCCTCTTCTGGCCTTCAGGCATACACGCAAAAACATTGTATATGTAA